TTAAAGAGTGTAGATTTTGTTTAAAAGGACCTTATCTGAACCAAGGCATTTTCTAAAATTTTGAAGTCCCAGTTCGAGAAGTCATCTTGCATCTCCTCTCTCTGACTTATTTAATCAGATGGGTTGGTCTCTATTCCAACTTTCGCTGTCCTGACTTGCTTAAAACACAACCTTCCTCATACTATTCTCCTTCTACTTCTCTCATATGTATTCTTAGCTTAGGTGGGTATAATGTATTTTGATTGTGGAGGATTGTGATTTTGAAGTCTTGTTAGTTGCAACATAGTAAACTCCCGCCAGCTTCCCCACATAAGCTAATGAAAATTCAAGTGAAACTTATCCTATCAAATTCCCGTCTCTTATTTCATGCCCTCCTTGCCCAGCGTGAATTTTCTCGAAGAACATCTGTGAATGTTTAATATATTACTGCTAGTTGTTCTCTCTTTAAAGGAATATTTTATAGTAAGAGATCTATTTCTTCCATAAATTGAAATTTTAAACTCTTCTGATCAAAACTGTGGAATACAAGCTCTAGTTATTCAGAATATCCTTTACTGATAATTCAATTGCTATTAAATCTTGCTAGTCCTCGTCAACATAACAATTGTCTTTCAATTCCTTACAGCTTCATTCCTACCCTATTCCTACGGTGTTATGTCTAATATAGAATATCTTACAACATCTTCTATTATTAGTGTTTTGCCAATTTCAAATTACTCGTCATTTAGGCTTCATTTGAGGACGTGCTGCAGTTTCCTTCAGTTGGAGCGAACGTCGATCTCTTTAAAAATTTTCGTTTGGTGAAACAGTGGGAGACGTTTGTCTCTCGAATTTCCTTCGAAAGAACGATAAATTTTTTCCATTTCAAATTGCAGTTGGTATCCTCTGATTCGAAAAATGCGGCTTTTAAAAGAAATTTGGTGAACAGTGGTGCTATTTTAAACAAATCCTTATATGTGATTTTTTTAGGGGTCTTTTGGGTTCATTGAATTTCTTGTGTAAACCAAATGCAGGGGTTCTTAAAATTTCAGCGTCAGGTTGGATGAGAATGGAATGTAATTTAAAATTTTGATGAATTTAAAATTCAATTTATAGTTCAAAACTAGTGCATTCCAAATTTGTTAGATTGGGCTATTCTCAACTGCACTATAAATATAAGCCTGCTGGCCGCTGCAACCCGTTGTACCCCATCATCATCCTACACCCACTCTTCACCACAGTTGCCTTGCCGCTAGCCACCTGCCATCCCCACCCCAGCGCCTGCCTCCTCCCTCCATCCTTTGGCCACCCGACGTTGCTCGCCGCCCATTGTTTTCTGTCTTGATAATGTTTTACATTAATTTAATTTTTTTTTAAACTAAACATAAAATGTGAATTAATGTTTATTTTACACCGAATCAAACAATTCCAAGTTATTTTAAATACACTACATTTTAATTACACTTAATTTATTTCACGCTGCTTTCGTTTTTTTATTTTTCACGTGCATTTAAACTTCTCAAATTCTATGCTACAATTCTTAATTTTACATTTAGTTAACTTGCATCCGCTTTTCACCATAATTAGATTAAGTTGTGGCATGTTATTTGGAGGAGGTGTTCTTTTTCATTTCTCAATAAAAATTTTGGCACATAACTTGCATGTAATGTCCTAGCCAAACCTTGGCCATTTCCCAATTTTAAATTCCTTCATGATGCCTGCTTTCCCCTAACACTAAATAACATAAAATTATTACTATCTCACAAAATTGTTCTAGGTATTACGATTGATTATAAATTTAGCATCAATCCTTTACCTTTTTCTTGTTAAGAATTTCACGGAATAGATGTGGTTTATTCATGAGCCAATCCAGTGAGCTTGATTGTTGAAGCTGTTTTGCCCAATTGCTCTGGTTTTTTATCCATATGGATTCTTGTCCAACACCTGGACCGGTTTTGGCTCTTGTGATGCTTTTCATTGGCTTGTGTTGATTTTGGGTTGTGTGTTGCTTTCCTTCATTTGAGTATCGGAGAGTTGTATGAGCCAGTAGATTTCTTGGCCTTAGATATTTCCAATGTTTTCTCTTTCTTCTCATCTAATCTTTTCCAGACCACAAACTTCCTTGCTTTCTTTCTTTAAATTTGGTTATTGATATTTTTCACATATTATGGTGGCTCTGTTTACAAATCTGTTAAACAAGGATTTATTTTTATGCATATGAAGTCTCTAGATTCATGCAGAATACGAGGACTCTTTAACATGTTTAAATCACATTGAGCCATTTTATTGATGAGTAGCTTATTAATAATTGAATATTTAATATACGGATAGTATACAAATTATCCGAGTGTAATCATTTATTATATTTATAGTATTGCCAAGTTATGCTTTGTCACGCCAGCTATCACATTCTTCATGGTGCAAGAGTAATAAAGTCTATTGATTATGTTTGCTTGTTCAAAGTAATAAGATATGAGACAAACTAAGCATGTAATTGCAAGAGATAGAAGCTTCTGCATATCAGTAATGTTTGACCTAACACCTTGGTTGGTGTGCTATAGTGAAGCTTATAATATTTAATCAGGACATCTTGATGTTATTATGAATAGGTTTTTGGTTTATCCATCATCCATGGTATCTGGAGAGGCTAGGTGAGCTACATTGTAGCATGATTTTAATCAAGCGAGTTTTCAAATTGCTCAAAAAAAGAAATAAAGGTTTAACCTTTTCATCTTTATTGTATGCATTGCATCTAGAGAATTTAAACAATTTTGCAAGGTTCATGGTCGTGGTGACTATTATTTAGGGCATTTCTAATGGACATGTTTGATGAGGTCTAAGAGAATGTTTCTAAGCAAAGGCTTGCATAACTTGAGGTAGATGCACTTGAGATCATGTTAAGTTTGATGCATCCTTTTACTGCTACTTGTGGCCTGGCGTTTGTGCAAGGCATAATTGAATACTACTGATAATGGATTAAGGTTTGGAGCAAGGTATTAAATAGATGATGCTTGACACAATTCAAAAGGATTGAGAAATTAATCTAGGGTACATTACTACAAAAATTATTTTATAGGTTTCTTGTTTTGGTTATGCCTTATCAATGTTCATGCTATTCCTTAGCGTGTTTCTTGCTTTATGGACTTCAAGTGCATTTATTCATGGCTGGATCAATCATTTGCCTATATGGAACAAAAGAAGCTTGTAATGGGCAGGAATTTTGAAGTTTGAATACGATCTGAATCTATACTTCTGATTTGCTGATGATTAGTACTATTAAGGGGACCTAAACATAAAGAAAAAGTAACAGAAGAATATGGGAAAATCTGATCATTATGGTTTATGAAAACCCTCAGGCTTAGTTAGTTATTAACTTTTTCTCTCTCCTTTTTTTTTTTCCGGTTTTTCACTTTCGAGATAACCTGGTGTTCTTAGGCCCTTCTCACGAATGAACAACAATTATTGTTCCTTCACTTGGAATCCTTGATTTTCCATCTTTTAGGCCAACAGCCACCACTAGGCCAAGAGGCTTGATGCATTACCGGATAAAATGCTAGGACCATCATGCATCTTGAATGTTGACTGGTGATATTGTTTTTTGTATAAAAAAAATGAGTTCTGAATTAATTTATAAAGTATAGCTGTATAATTTTCTAATTTGATTTATATGTTATGCACTCATTTTAGTCCATAGTCAAACCTTTTACATTTTCTGTGTTTTGTACGGGAAAAAGATGGAATTTAGGCAGCCTTAATTTTATCATTCTAGTTTGTAGGTTCTGATTAGAGATTTCTTGTCTTATTTTCCTTTTCTTTCACAAAGCTTCCTTTAATCCAAACATTCCTTTAATGTTTTACTTCACATCTTTGCATCGAAGCTAAAAAAATTCGGGTATGGGTAGATTTCCTGTGTTACGATTGCAGCCTGAATCATTCTTTGGGGCAAGCTTTGTGATTTTGATTTTCTTGTATTATTTTACTAGTTTTTTTTTGTATTTTTTTGATTTTTTGCTGCAGTTTATATACAAATTGTAGATTTTATTTTCTGATAACAATTTATAAATCTTCTGTTGTCTCAGGTGGTGAGAGACAAAAGGACTGGAAAAACCAGGGGGTTTGGATTTGTCAGTTTCACTAATCCTTCAGACCTTGCAGCGGCTTTGAAAGAGATGAATGGTGTGTTATCAATGGTTATTTATGAAACATTTTTTTCTTGGATCCATCATTTTTTGTACTCAAATTGAATTTTTTTTTTCATTCATAATTTTATGCAAATCTGTGACAGTAAATTCTTTGCAGGTAAGTATGTTGGTAACCGGCCTATAAAGTTGCGAAAGAGCAATTGGAAGGAGAGAACGGATTTTGAGGCTCTGGAAAGGCAAAAGGTGAGCTTCCTTTGCCATCCTAACATCTGTACTCAAGTGTGTTGCTTTTCATGTGATATTCTCAGTTGTTGATTGCTTTTTTCTATTCATTTCAGAACTACCCTCAGAAGAAGCCTAAACCATTGAAGAAAAGTGTACTGCACAAGTGATGCAAGAGGGCTTTCAGGGATTTGATTACTTTGGTAGCCATCTGTAAGCTGCTGTTTGCTATTATTACTTTTAGCGCAGGCTAGTTTTTTTTATAACTGTTGTTTCTATAATAGTACAACAGCCCATTGTGATAAAATTAAGCTAAATTATTTTCTTACGGAAGTTGCAAAATGTAGGAATTACATAGCAATACTTGAAGGGAGGTACTTTATAAAAATGAAAGGATAACTACTCCCATTGTTAATATTTCTAGAATATTATCATTGTAGCATCTGAAAATTAATTTTATGAAAATATTATTTAAATTATGTTAAAATTTGAATATTATATTTTTTCAACATTGAGAGCATTATTACATATATTGTGCTCAAAATCTAATGCATGCTCTAAGAAATGAGGAACCCTTCCATTTCTTCCCTTTCGTTTATGCAGGCTATACAGCATATTGGCATTTTGTATCCTGCAATCTATGTTTCTTTAACAAAACTTTGATTATCAACATTATACCATAATTATGGCAGTTCAAGCAATTTTCTTTTCGGAGTTTGCATTGAAGGTAAGAAAAAATTCAGGGCGGTTAGCCATTTAATGATTCTCAAATTTAGTGAGCGAGTTTGAGATTAATTATTATGCAAATTGATATATTGTTTTTTGAGACATTTTGAGCAAATTTAATCTCAAATGTATATGCAAGAACTTGAACTCAGGTTCTTTTGATTGAAAGTTTAAGCTCTCAACCAACAAGCTAAGATAGTCTGCTTATAAATTGACTTGATGTGGCTGACCTCTTTGGAGGAAACCTCAGGCCCCAATCTTTTGATTAAGCTTTACCTGAAGCATTATTGGTAAATCCATTGCTCTTTTTTATCTTCTTATCTTGTTCTCCATCGTTGGTTAGCGATAGCTGTCTTGGACATGGAGCACTATGCTTCACTTTTATAGGAAGAAAAGGGACATAAACACCATAGATTTAATTGTTACGGGCTAGATTGGAGCTTGGCTGTCATTTCTGATGGTTTTGCTTGGTACGGTGAGAACAAAAAATCTCAAGGCAGTTAGAGTTGTGCTGTGAGATAGAATGCAGGAACAGGTTATAGGAATGACAAAGTCTTTATATTGTGTGTAGGGGCGTGAAGGAGTTGGCCTTGAGCTATTTTGAGGCTAAGATAAGCCAACAAAACTATCTGAGTTTATATTGATTTTTAGTTTTAAAAGTCAAACTAGCATGCCAAAATACATGCCTTATTCCGAATCTGCTATCCTTTTCATTTAAACGTTCTTCGATATGCGCCAATAATCAATCATTTTCATGCAATCTTATATCTTCCAAGTGAATTTAACAACCGTAGCTTTACGAGATATAATTTGCTAAATTTATGTTCGAGCATTATTTGGCTTTAAAACAGTAAAACCTCATTTAATGCCAGGTCAATAGACTGTTCATGCAATTACTCGTTAAACATGAAGTGGCCGTGCTGCTTACTTTTACGATTGAAGCTTGTATAGAATGATTTGAGTTGGTCCTTTCTGTTGACCAGCTTTCCTCAATGATTTCTGTTAAGTGGAGATGATGTGGTTGTTTGGGAAGTTAGGGGTTCTTTTGGGATTTTTTTTTTAATTATTAAAAGAGAAGCATAATACTAAGTTAAGTATTGCCGAGATGAGAATGATTAGGTGGATGAGTGGCTTTACACTTAGGGTCTGTTTGGGGCAGCTGTTGATTATTTATAATCTGTTGATAAACAGATTATTGTGATAATCTGATAATCTGCAGATTATCAGAATAAATTGGCTTACTGTTTGAGGCAACTTGTTCAAAATAGTTTACTGACAGCTGTTGTTGGATAAATGACAATTCTGTCTCTGTTTGGTTAAGTTGTTTGCAACAGAATTGTATTGGAAAAATAATAGATAAAACAGAAGTCTCAAACTATTACTGTTCAGTTACAAAAATAAAACTACATTGCTCACCATTTTGTGAGTATCAAAAGAAATAAAATAAGAAGAAATACAATTATATTTACAAGTAAACAAATTAAAACGTTCAATTTAAAACTTTGACATCGTCTGTCCTCAGCGACACTGTCCTCTTGGGAAACCATCGTACCATAAACACTGTCGGCATGGGAGTATGTCGGAATGTCGGCCTAACGGAAGAAACCGCATCGTGCCGAAACACCCCTCTGACAACCGTAGAACTGTCTGCCACTGCTATGAGGCTGGCGTGATGTGAGTAAGGGAACTGGTGGTCCGCAGTAACACAACACAACTCGGGAGGTCCCTGAAATCCTAGAGCTCATGCTGCTATTGAGATAAAACAACCAGAAAAGATTGTCAGATCATAAAATTAAATTACGCTTCATATATGAGAACCGACATAAATACGCATATAAAAAAAGTAAGCGTGGGGTCTTAGGCTAGTAAATACTCCAACCTACGTGTCTGTCACTGAATGGAGATTGGACCTTCCAAAAAAATGAGTCCTTTGTTGCCATATACCGCAATACCAACAACATACGATCATCCTGTGCCAGATGTGTATATCATAAAAAAAGACCATCCAGATAAATCCTCATAAGCTAATGCACCCAAAATAATGGAGGATATCAGTTGCCTTCTTTAGGAATATACATGCAGCACGAGATAAGAACACTAAATCGATCATCCAAAAGAATTCAGAGGTCATATTTTTCATCATTCATCACTGGCCTCGCGCACTCACAAAAAAAAAAACACAAAACAAAACATAAACAAAATAAAACATAAACAAAACAAAACAAAGAATTTAAAACAAAATGCAAACACGTCATTATTATAAATTCAAACATCTTAATGAAACATATAAAATTCTTAATAAAAACATAAAATACATATCCCTACTTCAACGAATTACATCCCAAATGAGCATATAATAAATAAAGAGCCATGGCTGAATCAACAACCATATATAGCATCTGCGATAAATTCCCTCAAAGCAGCTATCTCGACTACTCCTTCACTGTCCTGAGTTTCAAATTCGATCGACTCGATCTCATTCTTAGGTAATGATTGACCAACGAAGGATTCTGAAGGATCTGGAGAGGCAATAAGCTGATCTTCATCAGGCAAAGTGAAGTCTGTATCTGATTGAGAGGAATGTCGTCGGATGAATTTGTGAAGTGCCATAGTGGCCACCACAATATGCACATGTTTGAGAAATAGATACGACGGCATATCACGTAGGATGACCCATTTCTTCTTCTACACCTCAAATGTTCTTTCAATTACCCCGCGTAAAGAGGAGTGTCGTTTGTTATACATTTTTTCTACCACGGATCGTGCCACTTGCTCAAAATCAGGAATATGGTATCTGGTGTCCGGATAGGGCTTCAGGTAGCCCCTATGCATTGGATATCCAACATCAACCAAATAATACTTCCCTGTTACAAAAGACAATATTATTGAAAAATAATACATGTAAGTTATATGTTTAAGTGAGATGAACAAACCTGGAGGCGGGTGAGAGAAACACTGCGTTCTATTCCTAGTTTCATAGGATAAAAAACGACTATCATGTGCACTTCCTTCCCATCCCGCCATTACAAATGTGAAACACATGTTGAAGTCACACACTTCCATGACATTTTGTGTTGTTGTACCACTCCGACCGATGTACGCGATCTTTTCGTGGCTTGTAGTCGGGCATCTACGTGCGTACCGTCGATTGCTCCAATGCAGTTCTGTTATTCACAGTTAGCAACTCAATACATTATGAAGTTAAACTGACGTATTAATAAAACTTACCTTGAAATACGACATGTAACGGAGATCATTTGCAATTTGTTCAGGAATAGTTGTGAACGATGGATCCGCTGACTTAATGTTTTGCGCTGCTAAGCTCACAAGTGTTTGTATACCTTTGGAGAAGTATCGACTAATTGTTTCTGAGAAATGTTGAAATCACTCCATAGCTCCTCTAACTGATTCGTTCTGTGAGAGAATGTATAATGTTATAGTCAGCACTCTCTCGTGGTCGTTCTAGAAGAACCTTGGAGGCCATGGGTAAGACATAACTCGTGAATAATATCTAAAAAAATGGGCGCAAGCATGCGAAAAATGTTGCTGAACCTTATCGGATGTCCAACAAGCATCTCACCCACCCTTTTGTCCTCAACATATGAGAACGTCATGCATGGTATTCGTCCAGTGTTGGAGCGATAGTATTTGAACAATAATATCTCTAGAGCTGGAACCGATGCCATTGTTTTACGACGTTCTTGCTGTGGATCTATCCTGAAAGTAGAAATGCATTATGATGAAATGATTTGTGGAGAAGTGGTGACAGAAAAATGAAATAGCAAAAACATCAAGGACTACAAAGCATCAGATAATGAATTACATAAATTGTTCAGGTAAATAAAACTGTTATGATAAAAATACATAAGAGAAAAATCTAATGATAGTTTAATATAAAACAGCCTCATTATTCCAATAAAACACACAGATATTCAATGCGCAGCTCGGACCACAGCGCCATAAATATTTACCTACGAGTTGGGTCCTCAAGTTTTTTAACACATTTTGTCTGAAAGCGCATATCGACAGCTACTTCTGGAATAGTATCTAAATTGACAACGCAGTCCCATATGGTGCTGTCAGGGGGAGTTGCAGGAGGCGGAGCTGGAAAAGCAGCAATTAGTTAATCAAATGAGTTTTTCGCAAAATTGTCCTTCTCTTTCTTCCTTCTGCCAAGCCTGGGCTTCTTGGACATGGAACTAGACTCCATCTCCTTTTGGTTAATACTAGGCTCTACTTCATCAGCTATAACATGTTCAGGTGACAAGTCATCTGGTATTCCTGCAAACCCCAACTCAATTGGGTTGAATGTATGCTTTCCAGTCGCGACAACCCCCTTAATCATAATATCCAGTTTTCCTCGAACTCCGACTGAATTCCGCACTGCCTATATTTTTTGGCTATTGGCATGACCTGTATCATTGTAAGGAAGGAGAGTGGTTTAGTTAATAACCAAAAAATACGAGAATAAAATGAATGTGAAAGTGTTGTTATTATCTACAATTTCTCAACCCACCATTCTCAACCCACCATTTATCTGAACCCACCATTTATCTGAAGCATCGATTGTTCGCTTAATAGGATCCCAACCCAACCCGGCGGATCCAAGTTTCAGTTCTTTCTAAATTTTTCACTCATTCTTCAATTGATCTCATTTATTTTTGAATTTGAGTCTGTCGTAATCCT